TTAGCAAAAAGGTTTTTAACACCAGAATTTCTGTCCTGTTTTCTTATGCTGAGGTCACTTCTTTTTTACTTATTTTATTGTTTTTCTTTTTGGATTTGAGCCCTACCCATTGGTGCTTGGGGATTACTCCTGGTGGGGCCCCAGGGTCCATATATGAAGCCAGGAATCAAACTCGAGTCAGACTTGTGCAAGGCAGCGCCCTACCTGTTGTACTCTCTCCAGTCCCCATTTCCTTTCAAGGTCTCATTGTCTTCCTTTGTAATCTACTAGACGTAGAAAAAGCCCATACCAGGGATACCTCTATAAAGGGTGTTTTTATTTCTCAAAGTCTCACTGTGCAGGCTTGGGAAATGGTCCCTTTCTTAAAAGGCCAGCATGATTAGGGTTTCTGGAAAGAAAGATGGCAAATGAAGGGCTCTGTGGGAATTCACTGAGGTTCTGACTTCCAGCCACCTATTATTGCAGCTGACTGGAGCCTTAAATCATCAGTTGCACTGATAAGACTTTGCTGAACCTAAGCAAACTCTGATGGAAGCATCCTGAGTGCTGGAGAACCAGCTCCAGGCTGCAGTGATACCAGCATGTTTTTCATTTCTTTGCAAGGCCTATGCTTTCCTGGGCTGGAGCGATAGCAGAGTGGTAGGGCGTTTGCCTTGCATGCAGACAGCCCGACCGAGCCTGGTTCAATTCTTCCGCCCCTCTCGGAGAGCCCAGCAAGCTACCGAGAGTATCACGCCCACACGGCAAAGTTTGGCAAGCTACCCATGACGTATTCAATATGCCAAACACAGTAACAACAAGTCTCAAAATGGAGATGTTACTGGGCCCGCTCGAGCAAATCAATAAACAATGGGGCAATGACAGTGACTCTTTCCCAGCACTGCAAGTGGGGACATGGAAGGTCTGGGCTTCCCCAGAAGGAGCATAAAGTTAAGACTGGCTCTGTTTGGCCTGGAGAGGTCCTGGACACATGACGGTGCCAAGGAACTTTCTAAGAGGCTGAGTGGAGTCAGGTTTCTAGCATGATGTTTTCCTGATGCCTGAGCGAGAGACTTTATAATGTCAACAGGAGAGTTGTCTCCGTAGGCACTGCCCATCCCACAACTGCTCCTCTGGAGCTGCGTGCGAAATCCTATCTAGAGCAAAGACACACACTTCCTGGCGGGAGTGATTTCGTCCTCCTGACTAAATAATATAAAATTCCTCATCTGTCAACAGATATGTTCTTCAGTCAATTCTGAGAGGCAGTAAATATGTATTTTAATAAGAGAAAGGGAAGACGAAGTGTAACGAGGTAAAGGGTGGGGAATAAAAGGGCTGGGGAAATAGTATAGGAGGTAGCACATTTCCCTTCCACCTGGCTGATCAGAGTCCGATACCCAGCACCACATATGGTTTCCCCAGGCCCCATGAGAAGTGATCCTTGAGCACAGAACCAGGAGTAAGGAGTAATCCCTGGGCACTGCCAGGTATAACACCCCCAACTCCAACCCAAAATGTGGGGGAAAGATACAAATAGTGTGTTTTGGTGTGTAAACATGAAAGAAAGAAAAAAAAAGTCAGAGGTCAGGGACGTGGCTCAAGTGCAGAGCACAGTTGAGGCCCTGGACTGGATATCTCCAGCCTCGTAGGTCCCCCTCCAGCAACAATCAATAAAGTGATCGAAAAAAAAAATAAGTTCAAACCAAATGCTGGAGCAATTTATGAACTTATGATAGACACCAAAAGAATATAAAACAAATTTACCTTCTCATAAACATCTAGTTAGGGGTCAGAGTGATAGTACAGCAGGTAAGGCGGTTGCTTTACATTGGCTGACCTGGGTTCGATCCCTGGCATACCATATGGTCCTCTGAGCACCGCCAGGAGTGACCCCTGAGCACTACCCAGTGCGGCCAAAACAGAAAAAAAAGACAAAAATAAAAATAAACATCTATTCAATATAGTCTAATGATACATATCCTATTTATCTAATTTACTTCTTTTCTTTGACTTTTCAGTGTGACTAGAGTACGGTAATTCAATTCAGCCAGAGTCATGGTAACATTAAATATTAAAGTCAAGAAGGTACTACTGCTCTTCTGGTCTAATTATATCATTTGAGCACAGTGGATTGCGTGTCTTGTTTAAAACAAAGCTTGTCAGTAGCAGAACCAAAGGTGGATCCTGGGTTTCTGTACTACATTTGAAGTGTGTATTAGTCTTTGCTGTTTTCATGATGACTTGTTATATATAAAGGCATGTTTCTCACTTGTTGCTGAGCTACAGCCCCAGATGGAATTTATTTTTAACTGCTTTAAAGGGATTAGCTAAATGAAATGCTATCTGCTGAATAAAAATATAGTATCATGTACCTCCTAGTCTGGGGGTCTGATCTAATGTACAGCCTATTTGGAAAGGGGTCTTGGTTTCAGGTCACTCACCGCTAGAGGGCACTCAGATTGTCCCACTTAATTTATAGAGGCTGCCAAATCCAGCCTGCAAGTAAAATTTATCAATGTGATGACATTGTCTATGAATGAAAAGGGTAAATCGCCATTTCTCTAGAATATGATGACTCTGGACAAAGAGTCTTTTATGTATTTGTGATCTGTATATTATATGTATGACTATATGATTGAATATATGCATATACACATACATATTAACATGTATACATATTGCAGATACATAATTCTGTTATATGTTATATTCTATTAAGTACATTTTGCATATTATATTTTTCTTCTTCTTCCCTCCCGTTGATCGTCGATTTGCTCGAGTGGGCCCAGCAACATCTCCATTGGAGACTTTGTTGTTACTGTGTCTGGCATATCGAATACTCTCGGTAGCTTGCCGGGCTCTCCGAGAGGGGCGGAGGAATCAAACTCGGGTCGGCCATGTTGGCTGCTTGTAAGGCGAACGCCCTACCCGCTGTGCTATCGCTCCAGCCCTATATATTATATTAATGTTATAATTAATGTTACTATTCAAGCCTCATGATGTATGCTCAAAAAACTTTTTTTGTTGTTGTGGTTGATATGGTTTTGGTTTTTGGCCCACACCTGGCAGTGCTCAGAGATCATTCCTGGTGGTACTCAGGGGGCCATGTGGGATGCCAGGGATCAAACCTGAGGTGGCCAAGTGCAAGAAAAATTTGCCTTATCTGCTATACTATTGCTCTGGCTCCCTCGTAATTTTTACTTCTATATTATACTTTGTTTTTTTTTTTTTTTCTGGATCACACCCGGCAATGCACAGAGGTTACTCCTGGCTCTTCCCTCAGGAATTATTCCTGGCAGTGCTCAGGGGACCATATGGAATGGTGGGAATCAAACCCGGGTTGGCCGCGTGCAAAGCAAACACCCTACCCACTGAGCTATTGCTCCAGTCCCAACTTTGTTTTTTATTTTAGGGTTTTGGGGCCACACTTGACAGTGCTCAGGGCTTACTCCCAGCTCTGCTCAGGGATCACTCCTGGTAGGAGTCCGGAGACCACATGTGGGTGCGGGTCTATAAGGCAAATGCCTATTATCTCTCCTGCTGTTACTTTAAGTAAAATAATTAGGGGAACAGGGCTGGTGAGAGAGTCAGCAGGTAAGGCACTTGCCTTGAATGTGCCTGACTAGGGTTCATTCCAATCCCCATCACCTCATATGGTCCTATAAGCCTGACCAGGAATGATCCCTGAGTGAAGACCTAAGAATAAGCCTTGTGCACGATCAGGTGTGGCCCCAAAACTACAATCTATAGGCCTGCAGTATTCTGCACAAAGAATATCTGTAGGGACCCCTAGATACTGCACTTTAAAATGAGGAAGAAAACAAAGGAGAGTTTTCTCAGCTATAAAAAGAAATGAATATAAGCCAAGCAATTTCTTTAACCTTCCATTTATCATCTCAGAAGCTTTATTCTGATCTTGTGAGGGATTTCTGAAGATTTATACCTGGAGCCATGAATAGCCCGTCTCTAGGAGCACCATGCCTTCTAGCTGTGTTATTTAAACTCTAAAAAAGTCTATTCCATAAGCAGAACAAAAGTTAAATTAAGGGGCTGGAGAGAGAGTCCAGCGGGTAAGGCATTTGCCTCTCATGCAGCCAGCCTGATTTCAATCCCCAATCCCTGACACCACATAGGATCCCCTGAGCCCTGATGGGTATGGACAATGATCACCCCCCCGCCAAAAAAAGCCCACAATAAAGCCTCAAAGTTCAAGTAATATTATTAAAGTTAAGATTAACAGCTTCCATAACATTACCTTGTCTGCAACAAATCTTTTCCTGAGGGAGCAGAGTGTTTCATAAGCAGGGTTCAGATGCCAGGGCTACCCCAGACATTCAGCCCAGCTCTGTGGGCCAGGCAGAAAAAGAAAAGAATCTTACAGTCCAGAGAGAGGGCTCAATGGGGTGGAGTGCATGCTTTACACATGGGAGCCCCAAGTTTGAGCCCCAGTACTGCACAGTCTTCAGTACCACCTGGAGTGGACCCCACCCCATCCCCAGCACCACTACATGTGGCCAAAGACAAAAACCAAACCAACAAGAGACCCTTCATAAGAGGTCTGTGAAAGGGACCAGAACAGGAGTACAGTGAGTAGGGCACTTGCGTTGCACGCGACTGACCCAGATTTGATCACTGACATCCCATATTGTCCCTGAGCACTGTCAGGATTGATCCCTGAGTGGAAAGCCAGGAGTAAGCCCTGAGCATGGCTGGGTGTGGCCCCAAAATAAAACAAGAAAAAAAAGATCTGTGAAAAAAGGAAATGAAACTCAGTATGTGCTTTGCATGCATCCGGGAGGACGAGATTCAGCCCCTGCACCACGTCTCTCCCGAAAGAAAGATGGGAGGGGGGTTCTGCAAAGTGTGTGTTGTCACCGTTGCCTACCAATAACCACTCCACAATCCTCCTGTATTCTGCTGAATCATTTTCCTCCCCCATGGCACTTACCTGATCAACATTAGCATGTGCTTTGCCAAAGGTGGTGAAAACCCTGGCTCACAGTAATGAAAAAGGATACATCTAATTCACTCTAGAAAAGAGAAAAAGAGGACAAGGATGAGGAGGTGGTGACACAGAAGGTTAGCAGCTGCCCTGGAGAGGCTCTAAGGAAAATCCCAAAAGGCACCTTGAGTCTGGAATTGCCATTTATTAAAAAAAAAAAAAGACTGCAGTTTAGAGGAATTTACTGGTCAGAACAATTAATATTTATTTGTTTACTTTTGGTTTTGGGGGTACACTCAGTAATACTCCGGGGTTACTCCTGGCTCGGTACTCAGGAATCACTCCTGGTGGCACTCCAGGGACCATAAGAGATACTGTGGATGGAACCCGGGTTAGCTGTATCCAAGACAGGTGCCCTACCTGCTGTGCTATCGTTCTGGTCCCAGAACATTCATCTTTAGACTATGGAACACCTCTTTAGAATAAGTCATCAGAGGTGTAACATACACCCTGGTGACAAACACTAATAAAGTAAAGGCCCTCCCTTTGATCATCGATTTGCTCGAGCGGGCCCAGTAACGTCTCCATTGGAGACTTTGTTGTTACTGTGTTTGGCATATCGAATACATCATGGGGAGCTTGCCAGGCTCTGCCGGGTGGGCGAGATACTCTCGGTAGCTTGCCGGGCTCTCTGAGAGGGGCGGAGGAATCGAACTCAGGTCGGCCATGTTGGCTGCATGCAAGGCAAACGCCCTACCGCTGTGCTATCGTTTGGCATAGCACAGCGGGTAGGGCATTCGCCTTACAAGCGGCCAACATGGCTGACCCGAGTTCGACAAACACTAATGTAGTTAATAATACTTCAAATGATATTACCTATTTGAAAGATAAGAGAATAGACCTTCAGGGATTTTATCACAAGAAAAAAAAGTCTGTTATCCATGTGGTGATAGCTGTCTACCACATCAATTTGATCAATTCACAATGTATATAAATATTTATGCTGTATACAACTGAAATCAAAATATGACAATTATACCTCAATTAAAAAAAAAGAAACAGTGGGGCTGGAGCGATAGTACAGCAGGTAGGGTGTTTGTCTTGCATGTGGTCGACCTGGGTTCAATCCCTGGCATCCCACATTGTCCCCCAAGCATCACCAGGAGTAATTCCTGAGTGTAGAGCCAGTCCTGAGCATTGCTGGGTATGGCCCAAAAAGGGAAAAAAAAGGAACAGAGAGGGAATGATTCAAACTTTACAGGTATTTTGATATGTGGATATGTGGATCAAAAACCTTAAAAATGTATACCATTTTAATTCATCAATTTATTTCTAGAAGTCTATCCTAAGAAAATAATTAGATAATAACAAAATGCTTTGTAACAGGATATCAGTCGCTGGAGGGGGTGATTTATGTATTGCATAAATCATGACAGATCCACAAACAATGCTGTAGCATTGCCTGAAAGCAGTGAATTAAAAAGCAAGTGACAAAAAGGTACAAACAATAGTTTTCTACATATATGTGCATATGTAAGTATCACTTGCTATAGATAGATGAAGTTAAGAGGAGATGTATCTAAAAGTATATGTCAAGTTATCAGATCAATGAATGACCCATTCCCCCTTTATTCTGCTTATTATCATATTAATCTTTCCCAACGGACATAGTAGTTGTATCATGAAAAACTGAGAGCTTCGATGTGGTGTAGGATTATCAGTGCTAAAGCTCATGCTTTGCATGTATGAGACCTAAGTTTGACCCTTGGCACTGCAAAGCAGAAAAACTGTCAAGGGGAAACAGTAGCGAGAGGTAAATTCCTGTCTGAGAGCACTAGAAGCCTGTGAGTGCAGCACACAGTTCTTATCCCGCTTCCTAAACAGCAGCAGCCTTTGTTTCCTGCAAGACTGCCTCCTTTGCAGCTACCAGGGAAGCAAGGACTTGTTTGTTTTGAAATGTGATGCTGAGATGCCTCTCTCTGTCCTGGCAGCATGAGACTGATGTCCAAATTTAAGATTTGGAAACTCTCAAATTAAAAATAGTCCCAAAAGAATGTTTAAAACTCTCAAACCTAAAAATAAACCCTAGATGACAAGGCACTCTCCATGCAGAGGACAGGCTGAATTTCCTTTCCCATTTAACTTTTTCCTCCACTTTTTTCTCTTTTAGCTGTGGTCATCCTAAACCTGGTCATCCCTTCCTCCGCTCCCCGTCTGATATAATAACCTGGCCTAAGTGAAATTCTAATCTTTACCCCTGTGTTTTCTATACTCTCTAGGATTATAGCAAGAATTTAACTGTCTGCTCTATTCTCAATTACCAAATACAATCTTAATTATTCAAAAGACCTGAGCAACCTGAGTAAAGTACCACCTTTGATTCTGCCAAGTTTAGAACACTGGTATGCAGGGAATTACATTTTTCTCCATAGGTGTTGCCTTACAGTGCCAACATGGCTGTCTCTAAATCACAGACCCGGATTTGCGATCAGTGTGTCCTAAGACAATTGTCCCAAGACAAGTGGGAGCTAGGGCTTTGCCATCCACTATGGTAAACAACAAGGGATGACCAGGTTTAGGATGACCTCACAGGCCACTTTACATTGAAATGGAGAGAAAAGTTCAACTTCTCAGTTACACTAATCACATTTGAAATGTTCAAGAGGGACATGTGGCAAGTGCCCCAGTGTTGGATGGCACAGGACGGGATGTTTGGTCACTGCATAAGGTTTTGTTGCTTCCCTGCTGGTCCAGAGTGTGCTCTCTGAGCAATCAATTCACAGATGAGTTGTTTGGGGGGCCAGTTTTGGGACTCAGCTTAGCTATGTTTACTAGCCTGGCTCTGTGCTCAGGAACTTGGGGGAACCTATGCAGTGCCAGGGATAGACCCAGATTGGCCACATGCAATGCAAGTGGCATACCTGATGTACTCTCTCCAGACTCACCCCCTCCAAAGAGCATTTTAAAGCCAGACTTAATCTCTCTCTGGTACCTCCCAGCCAATTGCTAGAATGGCCTGATCTCTTACCCACTTTCTGCTTTGGAACATGCTAGTCCCTTCCTAGTTGGAAGTATTTCCATGTCACAGACCATCAGGAAGATTCCTGGGCCACATCCTGAATTAGGAAACGGCTGATAACAGGCAGTGGTATCTATACTTTAGGCACCAGAACCAAGTGGAAGTCTTGTTAAGGTAACCGTCTCAACCTACATTTCTACTCTAAGATTAGAGTACTAGATCATATAGCCAGAACGCTTATTTCTAACAAGTCCCTAAGTAATGCTTATGCTGCTGATCCAGGAAGCACCATTTGATACCCACTGAGTTAAAGCAATAAAGACTGAAGACTACTGAAGGACCTTAGCAACCTTCATTTTGAATAAGAGGAGTTAACTTGAAGGTGCAACTATGCATTTGTGCATGTGTGTATGTGGGGCTTTGCTGGGGTTTGAACTTGAGGCTTCATGCATACAAAGCATGAGCTTTGCCACTGAGCCACAAATAACTTCTCAACATGAGTTTTCCCTTTTCTAGGCTTTAGTGTACCTATTATGACTATTTGTAGAACAGATATTGCAGACTGCCTCAGGAAGAACAACTTAGAAACACTTCCTTCCTAACTCTTTTATTTAAAAACAAAATTAAATAAACAAACAGCTTTGAAAAATCAGCATGCATCACTATTTCACTACTTCTCAAGAATGCTAGCCATAGGGCTGGAATGATAACTCAGCAGATAGGGCATTTGCCTTGCATGCAGCCAACCAGAGTTCGATTCCCAGCATCCCATATGGTCTCCTGAGCACCGTCAGGAGTAATTCCTGAGTGCAGAGCCAGGAGTAACCCCTGTGCATCGCTGGGTGTGACCCCCCCCCAAAAAAAAAAAGAATGCTAGCCATGGCTTAGGAAGGTCTACAGTAGTCGAGTAAAATGTCTTCACTGACTCTCCTTTTCAGAAATAAATAAATATATATGTGTATATATTTGGCGCAAGGGAACATCAGGTGGTGCTCAGGAGTTAGTCCTGGTTCTATACTCAGGAATTATTCCTAGTGATACTCAGGGGATCACATGTGATGCTAGGGATTGAACCTAGGTCCACCGCATGCAAGGTAAGCATTCTACCTGCAGTATTACTACTGTGGGCCTTATAGATTTTTTTTTTAAAGACTGTTGGAATTTCAAATTTATTATGAATCTAAGTCATCAAACTGTGGTAGTGGAAGCAGGACAAACATAATGATTGAAACAGAACTGAGAGTTCAGAAATAAACTCTTACATGTATGGGTAACTGATTTCTGATATGGGTGCCAAGATAATTTAATGGGGGAACAAATAGTTTTTTCTCCAGATGGTATAGGGACAATTGAATAGCTACATTTAAAAGAACAACAGTAGATCCTTTCTTCATATCATATACAAAAATAACTAAAAGACCCAATAACTCAAAGGGTTAGTGTGCATGTTTGTATGCCAGAGACCAGGGTTCAGTCCTTGGCACCACATGGACACCCAGCACTGCCAAGACCCCCAAAGCACTGTCCAGGAGTAGCCTGTGAGCACCACTTTGGGTATGGCTCCCCCAAAACATCCCAGACCTAAATTTAAGGGCTAAAACTAAATCTAAAAAGAAAAAATAAGAATAAATATTCATGACCTTAGATTAGGCAAGGCCTTTTGACACGACACCAAAATCATAGATAAAAAAAAAAGATTAAACTTAATAAAAAATAAAAGCTATTGTGTTTCAAGGGGGACCACCAAGAAAATGAAAATAAAATCAATGAGTAGGATAAAATACCTTCAAATAATATCTAGTGAGAGATTTGTATTTAGAATACCCAAAGAATTCCTAAAAACAAAGAAAAGGAAAGAAATAAAGAAAAAAGAAAAGAAAAACAAAATTAACTCTTCCAGTTCTATAATTAGAAGGCTAATGCTGTACAAGCAAACTTTTTATTTAAAGACTGGGGGAAAACTCTTATTTCCTAAAGAAGAGTTGGTTTTGATCCTCAAAAGAAAGGTTTGGAAATGCTTCACAAACTAAAAAGAGGTCTGATTTTTTTTTTCAAGGGTAGAATCATAAGAGGGGCTGGAGCGATAGTACAGCAGGTAGGGCGTTTGCCTTGCACACAAAAGATCCGGGTTCAATTCCCAGCATCCTATATGGTCCCCCAAGCACCATCAGGAGTAATTCCTGAGTGCATGAGTCAGCAGTATCCCCTGAGCATTGCCGGGTGTGACCCAAAAAGAAAAAAAAAAGAGTAGAAGCATAAGAAAGAGAGAAAAATCTCTTAATAGTGAGGAAGATATCAGAGGATCAGAGGTTAACAGTTTTGTAGAACAGCTTCTTTATAACAGCCAGGGGCACACATAGATTTGTAACACTTTTGGATGAGACAGCAGAAAGGTCAAGAAAATATGGCATCACTGGAAGTTTGACTTTTCCATATAAAAGGTCTATATGACACATAATCCTGATATAGTCCCATTATCTGGGAAATTGGACAGGACCCAAACCATTTTTTGGTCATCAGACTTACCACTCGGCTGAAATACTCATCTAAAACTTCCACAAAATTATGGATGAATTCATAAATTGCCATCTCATTCTGGAAAGGAAAAAAAAAGAAGGGTGCAATTTTTCAGAATGTTCCATGTGTAGGTCAGACTTGGAGCTGCCCTGTCAGAACCTGCTTTTAGAACATGTGGTTTGGCCAGCAGATGAGACCAAAGTAGTTTCCACTGACAAATAGAGTAACTTTGTGACTTGTTTGTTTAACAGAAACCACTAGGGAAAATGGAGGAAACCTTACTCTCTAAGATTTTTCTCAAAGTTCAAGATGAATCCAGGTAGATTCAAGCTGGATTGAGTATTTAGAGTTCTGCAAGTTTAATTCGTGATTTTTATCACAAGTAAACTGAAATAAATTTTCAGGTTCTTCCTGACATTTTTTCCCCATCTGTGAAGATGGAAAACCATCTCAAAGCTTGGCTAATTGATTAAAAGAAAAAACACCAATTAGAGAGGAGACGGTCAGAGAAGGAAAGAAATCAAGGGGAGAAGAAGAGAACAAGAAGTAATGGGAGAACAGACATCAGGTCTTCAGTTGTATCAGTGACATGGTTTAGGGGTATAGCCATATACAGATTCAATAAAACTGGAAATATGAGACAGAAATCACTGAAACTTTGTAATGTGCCTGTCAAGTTGACAGGCGGGGGGTAGAGTAGAGGATTGGGGTGGGAGGGAATCTGGGAACACTGGTGGAGGGAAGCTGTCATTGGTGGACGGATGGGTGTTGAATTATGCCTAAAACTCAACTACCAGTAACTTTGTAAACCATGACTCTTTAATGAAAATTAAAAAGAAAAGAAAAGAAAACAATCAGGCTTTCAACATATTTTAGGTTTCAACCTTTCTTCAGGGTTATATGGCCATAGGTGCTGCAGATCTGGAACCAACACTTTTCTTTGGGGGGAAGGCTACATCTGGTGATGATCAAGGGTTACTCCTGGTTTAGTGCTCAGGGTTCATTCAGAGGACCTGTTAATGCTGAAAAGCAAATCCAGGTGTCTTGCACTCAAAACAAGCACTGCAGCCATTTGAGCCAACTCTCTGACCCCTGGAACTTACATTTCTGAAAAGATAAACTACATCTAGGGAAAGGTGGTTTCAATGCCATCAAATTTTTAGTTTTCTCTGGCTTTGATATGTCAAGTTAGGTTTAACGTCCCACCCTGTTTAAGCCTCCCCACTGTACCACCCTTGCTTTGGGTTCAGGAAGGCATTCTGTGATTATATGCTTCTCTACTAGCTGCTGGTAGTAACCAAGAAATACCTTAGGTACTTTTCTTGCACATGGCTTTACTGGTTTTGTTTAGTCCTTTTTATTAAATGTTTTTTGTTTGTTTTCTTTTGTTTTGCAGTACTAGGGATTGAACCCAGGGTTTCACACAAACACATGCTCCACCTTGGAGCTATAACTAGTTCACATGCAGTCTGTCCAGACCATGATCCTTCAGAAGAGTCTGGATAATACTTTGGGAGGCAAATAAGGAAGGAAATGTCAATTAAAGGAGAAACACGGAGGCTGGAGAGATAGACCAGAGGGTAGGTTCTTGCTCTGATACTGTGTTTGATGTCCAAACCTTGCCAGGAGTGATCCCTAAGTGCAGAGCCAGGACTAAGTTCTGAACACTGCCAGGTGGGGCCTCAAAACAAAACAAAGAAGGAGGAATACAAATCAACTATTACTCTTGCATTTTTCATAGGCTCCTCTATCATCTTACCTCAGTGTCATTAACTCCAACCACAATGAAGAGAGCTGCATACTGTCGATAAATCAGCTTAAAGTCCTTATATTCGATGAAAGAGCACTAGACAAGACACAATTTGGTATCAGTTCCAAGGATTGACAGGTTTGTGAATTTCTTTAAAACAGCACTCATAATTTCTGGGTTCTTGTTTGACTATGTACACTTTGTAGAAATAATTTAACATTTAAATGTTAGACAACCTTTGCTGGCCTTGTCCTCACAATTTGTAGGGTCTGAGAACACCTCTAACTAGGGATATAGAGACAAGTTGTCTGAAATAAAAGTATCCACTCAGGTTTCACCTGCCTCATTCTTTCATTTGGCTCTGTGTGGAATTCAGTATTATAAATAACCACCATCTTATTTATTTTTTTGGTGGGGCCAGGGTTTAAACCCAGGGCCTTCCACATGGAAGGTTGCATTTGTTTCCTTAGCTGAGCAGGTACCATCCTGGTACTAGGGTGAGCCCAGTGCTGTAGACTGAGGCTATCACCTTCACCCTAATTTTAAAGTAAAGCCTCAAATCTTGCCATGTTTTAAAAGAATTCCTTGATCCAAAGTTGGAAAGCACCAGAGAGATAATATCTTAGTGATGGAGCAAATGACCCTTTTTAAAAAAATTTTTTTAGAAAATTTGTTTTCATAAGGTTGTTCACATTGATTACATTCATTATTTCAATACCAATCCCACCACCGTTACACTTTCCAATCACCATTATTTCTAATTTTCTCACTACCATTCAAGCCTGCCTGCCAGGAGCAGATGCTGGGTAATTTATTTTCTATTGCTTATTATAAATATCATGGGATGTCAAGTGGCTGCAAACTTCTGGAATTCTAAAATTGTAAATGGTTGGGGTCCAGAGACATCTCTGTAGGGAGCTAATCCAATTTTTTTTTTATTTTTATTAGTGAAACACCATGAGGTACAGTTGTAGATTTACAAATTTTTGTGCTTGGGTTTCAGGTATACAATAATCAAATACCCATCCCTCCACCAGTGCCCATTCTCCACCACCAGTAGGGAGCTAATCCACTTTGAGATTCATTTGGGATTCTCTGGATCAAGGCCGATGATGTGCTGAGATGGCGCCTGGAGACAGATCGTGAGTGTGACAGCCAGGATCCCAAGTGGGTAGGGAGATGGGAAAGGACTGTCTGTCTCCGCTGCCTCCATGTGGCCTGGAGTCGTAGTCCTTGATCTGGGGTACCTAGGTTTTGCTTCTGGAAGCTCTTGGCCATCAGGGTTTCATCTGGAGTGGGTGGAGAGGGCACACCTGCTCCATCTAAGGTGCAAATGGCTCTTAATTATGTTTACTTACTGTTACATTTTCACCTTAAGGTGATTTCAAAAGAGGCATTGAGTTGCAATCGTGTTCGGTCTAAAGTCTACTTTCAGCACGCATCTCCCATCCTGGGAGGATCCTCCCAACACCCTTTATTTGGTCCTGCCTTCTCTATCTGAGCTGCCTTTTCCCCTAGGGTGTGTGGCTGGCCTCCAAGCCATGTTTCACTAATAAAAATCTTTACAAAAAAAAAGTGGTTTCAAATGCTTGTTTATTGACTTATAGGGGTCAGAGAGATGCTCAGTAAGCTGGTATGATCCCTGACACCACAGAGTTCCCTGTTAACCACTGGGAATGACCCCCAAGTACAGAATTGGGGGTAGCCTTTCAGCACTCCAAGATGTAGCCCACAAAACAAAACAAAGCACAGTAGGGCTGGACAGTGCAGTGCATAGGGCACTTACTTTGTACACAGCTGACCTGGTTCAATCCCTGATATCCCATATGGTCCCCCGAGCACCAGCAGGAGTAAGGAGTAATTCCTGAGTGGCAAGCCAGAAGTAACCCCTGAGCATTGCCAGGTGTAGCCCAAAACACAAAACAAAACAAAAATGCTGATTACTGGATTGGGGGTGTGACTGGGGGTCCTCAGTTGAAAAACTGAGGACAAATTTCAAAGAGACATTAAAGAATGTGGAAGGCAATTTTTTGGATTAAATTAAAATGAAACTAAAGTTGTGTGACTCTTTGCCCGATTATGCCCAAAGCCCATAGGATTCCTTTGAAAATCTAAAATAATTTAGGACACATTGAAAATGCCTAACATGGAGCCGGAGCGATAGCAGAGCGGGTAGGGTGTTTGCCTTGCATGCGCCAACCCGGGTTCAATCCTCAGCATCCTCAATGGTCCCCTGAGCACTTCCAGGAGTAATTCCTGAGTGCAAAGCCAGGAGTAACCCCTGAACATTGCTGGGTGTGACCCAAAAAGGAAAAAAAAAAGAAAATGCCTAACATTATTAATTAAAATACCAAATATTCATTCCAAAGCACAGATTTCAGTGGGTAACCTCCTATAAGTGCAAAAAAATTGAAATTATGGTGTGCCTCCATTCCACAGGACTCAAACAGGCATGGTGCTGGAGTGTCTGCTTTTACTTCAAGTACGTGGCAACTGACACAGTCCAGTAAGAGTTTCTGTTTCCTTTGACAACTACATGAAACAGTGTGTGCCTGGTCAGCCAAAGATGACTGACTCTGCGATGTTCCTGCTGGAAAATTAATTTAGAAGCCAAGAGAAACACATTTCTAATGTGTGACTTCTGATCTCAGAGGGAGTTGAGTTTATGACTTAGCAGTGGTTCCCACAGCAGTTTTTCCCCCCTATGCAGGGAAATGTGGAGAACCAGCAAGTTGAGCTGGTAATATCAACACCCTGATTTCACCTGTTTTTTCCCCCTAGTCATTTCCAATGAATTTGAAGTTTACGACCCGAATTAAGTAATTCGCCAATAAAATTTTTTTATCAAGATAGATTCAGTTTAAAATGTTTTGTAATAAAAAATTGGGAAATAAAAATTTCCCATTATTTTAATGATTGTATTTACCCTTCATTTGGCACAATGGATAGACTTGTTTCACATGAATTTAAACCTCCATTTCTCCCATCAACTTATTAACATAAGAAACTTCAAGAGAAATTTCTTTTTGCTTGAACAGAATTATATTATGATATTCTGGCACAAAAAAATCTTAAATGTTCCCCTCTATTCCAGACATCTGTCCTTCATCCTTGATTTAAAGAAAGCCACCTGCTATAGAGACACTCCTAAAATTCCAAGGGCTGAATTCACATGAACAAAAAAAAAAAAGAAGTTAAGTTAGCAGGAGTGAATCTGAGCTACCATTTCCACAGAGCTTAGACAGATCTGCTGACCTAAAGAGAACCCAAGATCTTTCCTGGTTTCCTTTTTTGACTTTCCTGAAGGGGATGTAAAAAGGGCTAGGTTGCAGTTTTTCATTTCACTTCGTCTGTTATGTTTCCAAACAGCTGTTGAAATAGTGTGATTCAAACAACACGATGGTCCTTGAGCCACGGAGTAGCCTATCTGCAGTAATAGCAGACTTGCTATACTGTTGAGGGGAAGAGAGGAGAAAGAGAATATGAAACGGACCTGCTCGCTGGACCGAGAGAGGCAGCTCTTTATAACTTCTGTTTCCAGCAGTGTCCGCTTGCGGATCTCCACATGTTCATAGTACTTAGAGAGCCGGGTCTGCCCTTGCTTATTCACCATGAGAAAAAATTTGATCATTTTTCCCTTCTGCCCAGTGTTAAAGGCAACTTGTGGCTGTAACTTGAACCTAAAGGACATAAGAGCAATAAAAGGCAAGATCAAATTTCTCAAACAACCGTACTATTTCAATTGTTTTGGTGTGCTGGGGGCCCCAGTGTTGTTGGTCCTGATGGAGCCGATGGAGGGGGTAGTTTAGTGTTAGGGTTTGAACCCAGATACCATGTAACATGCAAGGCCTGTACTCCACCACTTGAACCGCATTCCATACACACACACACACACACACACACACACACACATCCCCGTGGTCAAATGTCTAAGCACCACAACTAAGTGTACGACCCCTGGCAAGTGAGTGTTTGAGTAGCAATCACTGCAGTAATAGCCACAAGGAGGAGGGATGGGCCAAAAGAATCACACTATACAAAACCAAATCAAATACAGTTTCTACTGATAACACGGGTATTTATTTTTATGAACAAAATAAGTTTTTAATAACTAACATTAAATTTTCATTATTTTACAAAACACTTCCCCCCCCTCACACACACACACTTGTTCCAGTGACCAGGAATGTGGGTAGGGAGCAGGTGGTCACACATTCGGCTGCACTAGAAACCACGTGGGCAGCACCAATCAAATGAAGCACAGGGGGCTGTGCTAAGGATCAAACTCATGGCCTCATGCCTGCAAGGCAGGTGCTCTATCAGTAAGTTGTATCCCTGGCCCTCCATATTTGAGTCACTGCTCTCTTTCCCTTCAAAACTGTTCAATTTATTCGCCAATCTTGTTGGGCACCAACTGTGTGTCAAGCAGCAGAGGATGTAGAAATGAAGGAATGATTTCTGATATTTTGATACACCTAGCAATAGTAATCAAGTAACAGTGAAGGAACAGGTAGATATCTATGGGTATAAGGAGGGAGGAATAAGGAACATCACAACAGGGTTAGCAATGGTTTCCCAAAGAAAGGGCATTTTCTCTGGGACAGTGGGTAGGTCCTGAAAATGTCAAGAAGAAAAAGCAAAATATGGGAATCTGAAAGTCCTGGATTGCTCAACCTTGGTGGTCAGCTATAGAGCAGGAAGATGGTAGAAAGGAACTGGGCTGGTCACATAAGATGAAATTAATTTTACGATCATGCTAAAAACTTTAGGGTCTGGAAAGATAATATGGTGGGTAGGGTGTTTGCCTTGCACACATGGACAACCTGGGTGGTCCCTTGAGCAATGCCAGGAGAGATCCCTGAGTGCAGAGTCAGGAGTAAGCCCTGAGCATCAGTGGATATGGCCCCAAAATAAAGCAAAAAACAAAACAAAAAAAAAGATGTTTATTTTATGAACAATGAAGACAAGATATAGATGAAGCTTTTCTTTCCTTAGCCTTTTTTAAAAAATGTAGACAAAACCCATAACTGTTTATGGAGTTTCTAGAGTTGAAATTAATTAGCTAACAAAGATCCAGTATTAAAAGTCAGTAAGTATAAAGAAAATCCATTTTTGTTATATTGTTATATCAGATGACAGGGTTGTGAAGTCCTTATCCATGAATTTATTAAGCTGTTTGTTGCTAGTTGAGCCTTCTGTGTTATTGTTTTTGTTTTTTGTGTCTACGTTAATTTCCTATATAATATGGTGTACTCCTGATAGAAGTATAGAGGAATTAGGAGGTGTTGGGCAGCCCAGAGGTCAGGTTCATGGTCTGGCTCTTTCTTTAGTCTTAAAAACATTCAAAGAAGAGGGAACTTGGGGACACTGGTGGAGGGACACTGACACTGGTGGAGGGATTGGAGCTGGACCATTATATGCTTGAAATTCTATTATCATTGTTGTTGTTATTATTTGGTTTTGGAGCCACACCGGCAGTGCTCAGTCCTTACTTGTGACTGGGCTCAGGGATCACTCCTGGTGATGTGAAGCTTTTCTTTCCTCAGCCTTATTTTTTTTAAAAAAAAAAACGTATTTATTTCATTATTTGATTAAGCTGGTTGAATTGGGCATGAACTCCACATTACTTTTTTTTTAATTGAATCACCATGAGATAGTCACAAAGCTTTCATGTTTGAGATTCAGCTGCACAATGATCGAACACCCATCCCTCCACCAGTGCACCCCTCCACCACCAGGGTCCCCAGTATATCCCCTGCCCCCCCTTCCCCCCTGCATCCCAGTCCTCATCCTGCCTCCATGGCAGGCAATTTCCCCAATACTCTCTCTTTACTTTTGGGCACTATGTTTTGCTCGAATTTTCCCACCACCATTCAAGCCTGCCTGCCAGGGGCAGATCATTTATTGTCCATTGCTCATTTGGAATATCTTGGGTGCCACGACCATGCGCTTCTGGAATCCTAGATTGAAAATGGTTGGATTCCAGAGATATTTTCGTAGGGCACTAATCCATTTTGGGATTCAATTGGGCATCTCTGGACCAGGGCTGATGGTATGCTAAGATGGCGCCCAGAGGCACATTGTGGGTGTTGACAAGCCAGGTTGACAAGTGGTCAGGGAGCCAGCAAGGGACAGCCCGGAGCCTCTCCTGCTATGCGGCATGGATATTTAGTCCTGGAACCTGTATACCTGGGCCTTGCTTGTGGAAGCTCTTGGTCACTGGGATTCCATCTGGAGTAGGCGGGGAGCCTGCACCTGCTCCATCTGGGGTGCCCCAGTGAAATTGGCTTGGTATGGGACCTGGAGAGATCTCTGACTCTGTGGTGTCTTCCGGGACTCACTGCAGTGTCTCTGGACCAGGGTCCTTAGCCTTTTTTTAAAAAAAATAAGGGAACACGTAGGTGCTAGGGATTAAACCCAGGTTTGGCATAAGCAAAGCAAGCACTTTAACCCCTGTGCTAACCTCTGATCCTGAAATTCTATTATTAACAGCTTTGTAAATCATGGTGCTTACATTAAACAATCTTTAGGAGCAGTAGTAATAGTAGATATTAGTAGTAGAATCGACTATTTATTAAGGCCCTCTAATAAAGCCCTACAATAAACCCTAGCAGGACTTCTACTGAGCAATTTATATGTATGCTATTTAAATATCACACTTCTTGGATTCCTACATTAAGCATAAACATTTAGGAATGTTAAGTTACCCGCAGTCTTGGATTACCCAGTCAGGGGTGAGCTCTGGGACAATGCACACAGGGATCCCAAATTTGTCCTCCTCATTCAGTTGTTCATGTGAGTGATTTCAACTCTAGATAAAATAATTTTATATCTAGGGGCTGGAGTGATAGTACAGCACATAGGGTGTTTGCTTTGCACATAGCTATTCAGGTTCGATTCCCAATACCCCCATATCATATGATCCCTAGTGCCTGCCAGGAATGATACTTGAGCAGAGAGCCAGGAGTAAGCCCTGAGCACCACTGGTTATGGCCTAACCATTGCTCCCCAAATTTATATATAAAATAATTTAAAATTAAATTAAAACATTTTTAATCGAGACACAATGAGATACAGTTACAAAGTTGTTCATGATTGGGTTTCAGTTATATAATGTTCCAATGCCTGTCCCTTCACCAGTGTACATTTCCCACCACCAATGTCCCCACTTTCTCTCTTGCCCCTAACCCTGTCTGCCTCTATGGCAGATACTTTCTCTCTCTCTCTCTCTCTCTTCTCTCTTGAATTTAATTTTAAAAAGAATATATTTGAAAATTTTTTCTTCTACTTAATTTTTTCCTCTTTGGAGCCATATCTGGTGGTGCTCAGGGACTACTTCTGGCAGGGCTCAGTGGACCATGTGGTGCTGGGAATGAAACCCAGGCTTTAGTATGCAGAGTCTGGATTCCAGTATTCTGTGCTGTCTTGCCAGCCCCCAGTTTCTGTTTGTGAAATAAATAAAAATCCAGTAATGTTGACTCCCATTTCCTCTCATCTCAACTATGCATTTTGAAATAGTGCAAAATAATACAGGATGGTCAACAGCTAATCCTTCCACATGGGCATCAAAGCCACCCAAATACCCGATCATAGTGCCAAAGATCAGGATGAACAGTGACTCTTAAATAACCTTTTCATAGTAGTACTCTTACCAAAAAAATAAATAAATAAATAACCTTTTCACATTTGCAATAGGCACCAGGAAGAGCCAGGCAGCAGAACCCATATGGCAATCTGTGGGAGGCCCTGAGTTCAACCCCCAGACCCCTGAACCCCTGACCTATCAGGCCTGCTCTGTCTGCTGAGCACTGCCTGAAGTGGCCCCAGATCCCCAAAAGCACTGCTGGGCTGGGTGGGGTGACATGAAAAAGTGAAAAATGGGGCCAGAGGAATAGAACAGAAGGTAGGGCACTTGCCTTGCATGTGGCTGATGTGAGTTCCATCATCCCTGGCACCACATATGGTCTCTTATTTTTTTTTCTTTTTGGGTCACACCCAGCGATGCCCAGGGGTTACTCCTGGCTCTGCACTCAGGAATTACTCCTGGCAGTGCTCAGGGGACCATATGGGATGCTGGGAATTGAAACTGGGTTGACCGTGTGCAAGGCAAATGCCCTATCCACTGCGCTATTGCTCCAGCCCCCACATATGGTCTCTTGAGCTCCCCAGGAGTGATCTCGAAAACAGAGCCACTAGTAGGCCTGTCATATGTCCCTCCCCCAGTCCCTACCACCCCAAGAAGTAAAATATAAAATAATAATAAAATCTGGAATCATTTTACAGAAAAATTGCTGTCATTATGAGGGTGACATTTGAATTCTGTTTCTCTTCAGTTTGCCCTCACAGCTCATTTCTTATCTCCTAAACCCTAGCAGACAGGTGGTGATCTCACAGTTATAAACACCAACAGCTAAAGAGAGCCAAGCCCAGTCTGCAAAGCCCAGGGCTGCAGTGTTCACTCAATAGCAGAACAGGATGGTGTTGAGACCAGTTCAGCTGGGGCCATGACAGCTGTGCCATGGGGAAGCCTGCGGTCATTCACTCCCTTTTCCAGGAAGAAAGACTCATGACTGTAGGTGGGGCTGCAACAGTCTGTGATTTTTAATGATTTGGCATAAAGTGTTGCTTTTAATTATAAATTATTGCCCAGAAATTAGGATAGGTGACTTGAAAATGAAGA